AAATTTCTTGGTGTTTATATGAAATTTTTGGCACAATCGCAAAATGACGAAACTATTCGTCAATTCAAAAATAATTTTAAGCATCTATAATTGCAACACAATTAGACTGGATCATATAACATGACCAACAAATTATTATGATTTTAGTTTATGTTTTAGGCTGTAAGAAGTTAACGTGACAACACGAAGCTTCTAGAAGAAGCAGGCTCAGGTTCTCAATGATAAAATGCATAAATGCAAATTAGTAATTATAATTTTGGGATAAATAAACAAATATCGTGATTTCTGTACGTGCTTTGCATTGTACGTACGTACGTATGTAAGTACATGCGTACGCACCCAGAAAATATGTACCAGGTTGGGATCGTCAGAATGATAAGATATTCGAAACTAGAAATCAAAATTACGTATTTGCATCATGTTAAACATTAAATACTTACATAAAAAAGCTAATAATCGATATTGTCGTTAGCATTAGCTTAACATAATATTTTTCGTTTGTTTTTTCTTCCTGCAAAATAAAAAAAAAAGAAAAAAGAAAAAAAGAGACAATACATGTTACAGACATGTTTTAAATATTTCGTGCATACTATTGTTTCGTTAATTACAAGAAACTATCAAATTGAAATCTAAATAAACTTTGAATATATCGAACCTATCTACGTCACTTCTGCAAATATCTCCATTAGCCTATAAGCATCAGGTTGAAAATTGCAATAACTAAGTGTGGAAATAAGCCGTTTAAAGAAGATATTGAAACTAGGTTGTATTTTATTCTTAATAATTCAAAATTTATTTAATAATTACATAACGATAAAGATCTAAATAATGCTTGCTGAAAAGTTTTTTAAACGTATCATTGGTGATATTAACTACTTAACAGCATGGAATATTTCGAAAAAGATATGAAAAATTTAAATATTTAACGATGGGCAAGTTAGTGCCTTATCTATTTCAACAAGATTCTTTATCACGTCGGAGTAGGTCAAAAATAAAAGCTCTGCCGCATCAATTTTAAAAAAAAATTCGTGCACAGAAAGAAAATATTAATTTAATATGAAGTATAATAAAAGATTAACCATAAAAGGGTACAGTAAACCCTTTCTATGAAAATTCTGGAAGAAAAAAAGTTCGATACAGAAAATTACTATATTTTATTAAAAATACATGGCACTTTTTATATAGAACAATAATGAAATTCCAAAATTTTGAGTTCATTATATCCAGAGTCAAATGTACATAATTTATTGAAAAACGTCACAAAAAAAATAAACCAAATAATTAAACAGAAACAAACTAAAGCCAAATGATTAAACAGGAATAAACTAAACTAGAATTATATTTTTAGAATGTCAAACTTCAAATTATTTGTATTTTTCGAAGTGCTGTATATACATTGTAAATTGCGTTAAATATTGTTTATATGATCGCTAAAAAAAAATATAATCTAAGATTTAATTTCCGGACCATAATCCGGGCTATCGCCCGAGCGATCATAAAGTTTATAATAAAAGAGTATATATGAATTTTTATTAGAGTTTATATTTTTAAATTAAGACCTAAATTTTAGCACTATCTAATTTCAGTATTATCTTTAACAAATATTACTATATAGCACTAACTAATATATATTCATTTCTGCAAGTAATACAAATTTAAAAAATTTTATATATAGATTGCAAAATCAGATATAATTTTTATATATTGTAAAATTGAAGAACATCATTACTTATTAAATTTTTATTAAGAAATCACTTTTTATAATAAAAAATTTGTTAACCAAATTTTACTATATGATTTCCTTATATCAACCTTAACTCTAACCCTAATATCGGTCAAAATTTTATATACTTTTAGCAAAATAACAACAAACAAATTTTTCTTATTAACATATTATTTGTATTACTTGCAAAAATAAATAAATCTTGCTAACTACAGTACCTAAATACTATTCAATCAATTATCAAATTTTTTAAATAGTAACTAATTATATCTAACTAGAATAATATTTAGATTTTATTGAATCATAAATCTATAAATTATATTTAGTTCTTTTTTATAGGTAATATTATAGCAAAGAGATACTATAGTTAATACTATGTAGTAATTAAGTTTACTAAAAACCAGGAACTAGTTTAAGTCTAAAGCTTATTATTCTTTTTTTTTTTAATATCAAAGTGACCTTATGGTCAGTTGCCTTTATTAGTTTTTGTGCTAAGCTGATCGAAGTTAGCCACTACTTATTTGGTATATGGTTTTAGAGAGTACAACTAGCTACATATACAACTTTTGATTGTCTATTTAAGTAGTCTGCCTGAAGGTTCTACACTAGATGCTATATCTATAATCCAACTAGAAGATTATCTATTTAAACCCTCTGCACTGCCACTAAAGATGCTTGACGAATGACGAAACATTCGTCATTGACGAATGACAAAACTATTTCATCAGGCAACTTCTAATTGACGAATTGACAATTGATGAAACCTGTGACAATTGACGAAACCTATGATGAATGATAAATATCATATAATATAAAGTTAATCAGCAATAATACAGTAATGTTATTTGCTATATGCTTTATTTTAATGAAATGAAAATACTCTAACACATCTGATTTGTTATGAAATTCTATTTACATTATCTAGTATGTGTATAGTTTTAAATTTTTCTTGTAAAATTTAAAAATTCGCCATTCAACATAGCGAATTTTTTAATTTTACAAGTGCATTTTATATTATGTATAATTTGTAAGTACTTTAACTGTATAAATAATGTAAAATTATAAATTTTTATGCTTAGTGACAAATATAGTTACATCATTATCATACATCATTATTAATACTTGTAATATAATACATAGAATATATAATTATGATGTAATTTTTTTGAAGTATAAATAGATGACTATTATCTTTGCGATAATTTTGATATTTTTTTTATATGCCTTCTGAAAAGTATTTATGTCAGTTAAAAGCAATACAATTAATGAATGTTCTAGCAGTTGAAAATTGGGTCTGGTCCAATAATTTGTTATTATCTCTTATATCATAATTTCAATCTTGATTCAAAATAAAAAATTTTTTTATCATTAGTAAATGGGTTTTTATTTCAAATCATAGTAACCTAATATCCTTTTTTGGAAGTGTATAAATACCGTCATACAACAATTCAATTTTACGATTATAAAAAAAAAACTATAAATACCTTTAATGCATAGTATACTTTTGTTATGAGAAAAAAAAATCCAAAATTATCATCCTTTTTTGAAGCTGTGTAAGCAAACAAGTATAAACAACAAAATTTTCTAACTATTCTAATTATGATCATAAAAAAAAAATATAAATACCTCAATTTGTGGAATTTTGTTTTCTGTCACGTATCAAAAAAAAATCAAAAAAAAATATCATCAAACAAACAAAAATCCAAAGTATCTGAACATTCATCATATACATTTGAAAGAGAGTAATCACCAGACTCTTTGGCTTCAGCTTTAGCTTTATCATCAACTAGTACTTCTATTTCATCATCAGCTAATACTTCTGAATCGAATATATTAAATAGAATAAACTCTGGAGGATGAGTATTAGCACCTATATGGGAATATTTTCATTGTGAAAAAACAAACTCATATGGATATTACTCAGCAAAGTGTTCTTTTTGTTCAACTAAATAGGCAAGAGGTGAACGGTTAAAGTTTGAAGCCCATCTTGCATTACAGTGCCCTTATGTTGAAGATCATATTTGACAGTCATATTTACTACGTGTAGCTAGTCGTAATAATGAAGAAAAGTCACCTGAAAATTTAACTAAATCAAAAAATTAAGATTAGATAAGCAGAATAATCTCTCAAAATTTTTTCCACCAAAATCTGGAGACTTATTTGAAGAACGAATAAATTCTATAAATATTTTATTATTAAAGGCATTTATAGTCTGTGGTATTTCATTTTCTATAGTTAAAAATCTATAAAATCTATTTTTTATCGATTTACTTCAAAATTTATATCTGAACTATTAACCACCATCACAGGAAGTTTTAGCTGGACATTTATTAGACCAAGAATATGCTAAAGTTATAGTTAAGTATGAAACTATCTTTCGTGAATCAAAAAATCTAACTTTGGGTAGTTTTATTTAATATTTTAAATTTATAATTATATTATTTATTACTAATTATATTTTTATATATAGCACTAGATGGGTGGACTTCATCTAATGGAAATTCCATATATAGCTTTGTTATTTTAACACCTATGCACAACAAATTTTTATATTCATTACATGATTTTTCTGCAAATTCATATATAGGCAAATTTCTTGTAGAAAAAATTGTTACAATTTTAGATGAAGTTGGGCGTGATAGATTTACAGCAATTGTTACAAACAATGCAAGTAATATAAAGCTTACACGGCAAACTATCTATGAAAAATATCCCAAAATTTTAAGCTTAAACTGTATTGCTCATTGTATCAACCT